AGGTCAACAGGAAGGGGATAAATTTCAATTACAACTATGAAGATTTAACCAAAAAAAAGGTTAATATGACCCACACCGGTGAGGAATAGGGGGCTAAATAATGAGCCATATTTGTTAGTGCAATTTTTACAATAAATGCAATTTTTACCATAAATGCAGTTTTCTTTACTTTTAGGCTCCACTACTTCTCATTTAGAGAATTTTGGCAATGAAAATTTACCGTAGCGATTGTCAGAATACCACTGCAAAACGTTTTTCTACGAGGCTGACCCAAGTGGTCAAATAGAGATACATACATATCAATTTAGGTGCTCCATTAGATTCCTAGAATTTTGCAAAAGGCGACAACATTTCTATTAAAAGTTGGTTGCGTTTTACAAATAACACAAGGCAACATTGAGTTTGGTGCGGCATATGCACATTAGGTCAAATGATTACTTTTTCTGTGCGAAATTAATAGCAGGTAAAATATTGCATTATTTTAATGTAAAAAGATGGAAAACGTTAAAACAAGTGTAAAGGCAGTAAATAAAATGTTAAACATACTTGGCTTTCGTAAAACAGACTTTACTGCTTTTTTGTATGTTCAAATGATGAGTGTATGTTTGTAGGTAGTACTCAAAAACATTGTCCAATTAGTTTGATTTTGACACAAGTTATTTTCTTACCATACTCAACCCCCTCCCCTTTAAAATGAGCTGCATAATAAAATAAGTATGGTCACATGTACATAAATGGCGATTAGTTATGGCATTATCGAAGTTCCTAAATTAAAAAAAGAACAAGTAAGAAAGTCTAAGTTCGGGCGGAGCCGAACATTAAATACCCGGCGCAATTATTAAATATATGTTTTCCACCTTTCCGAAAGCTACCGCTACACGATAATCCGGGGTGTATAAATTTTAAGTAAATTAGCGTCCTTAAATTTCGAAATATTGCAGTTTCAAGCATTTCTGAAATATACCGTTATATGAAAAGCGGTCGTAATTTTAGTCCGATTTCAATAATTTTCAACGCTTTGCTTTTATGTGGCAAGCACAATAACCATACCCAGTTTGGTTCAAATTGCTAGAACGGTTAGCGAGATACATATATGTGATCATAAGTGGGCGGTGCCACGCCCATTTTCCAAAATTGTATCATAAGCTTATTTCTTGGTAAAAAATTGTTGCAACCATCAATTTTGAATAAATTAGCTTTAATATTTACTGATTTATCGAGGATCTCGTATTTTTCTAAATTACCGTTATATGGGATGTGGGCGTGGCTATTGTCCGATTTTAAAAATTTTCGGCCATTTGGTATGTTGTAGCAGGACCAACAACTGTGCCAAGTTTGGAAGAAATTGGTGCAGCGGTTACCAAGATATACACATGTAATCATAAGTAGGCGTGGCTCCGCCCATTTGCCAAAATTTTTAATATTCTTATTTTTCGTCTAAAACTCATTGTAAATATCAATTTTGAGTGAATTATCTTCAGTAGTTACTAAAATATCGCACTTTTCGTATTTCTGAAAATTACCGTTATATGGGAGGTAGGCGTGGTTATTGTCCGATTTCGCCCATTGTCAATACCATCCGTCCTATGCCCAAAAGAAGTCCACGTACCAAGTTTCGTTAAGGTATCTCAATTTTTACTCGAGTTATCGTGTGCACAGACGGACGGACTGACGGACGGACGGACGGACGGACGGACATACAGTCACCGCTTAATCGATTTCTCTTTTCATTCTGATCATTTATGTATACATTTGTCTATATCTATCTCGATTCGTTTTGCCTGTTACAAACAATCGTTATGTGAACAAAGTTATAATACCCTTGTGCACAAGTGCGCTCGGGTATAAAAATATTTACTACATGTCTCGCAGATATGTCTTGAGGAGAGATTCCTAAAGCAGTTAGTCTTCATAAAACACTTCATTTTCACTTGAGGTTTCAGTATTTCCGAATTCTCCACCGATATTATTTATATTCAGACATTTACCAAAACTCGCTGGTAACTTCCTGAAAAGAATACGAATGTTTATGAAACTAATTGGTTAAAAGAATGTTCAAAGCTCTATTCACTTTGAATAAAAAAAAAAATCGAAATTTCAGTCCGTGAGCTCTCTCAAGAATTTGCCTTTTTGCGAAGGCGTTAGTGTATTTGTAACATAGGCTCGGCTACGCTACAGGAGATGAAATGTAATCCAAATTGAGGCTGCTATGTTTTTTTTTTTTGCTATCACATACTTCCATTTTCACTATGTATCACCATTAAAATGGATTCTTTATCACCAAAAAATGTTGGAGATATTTTTGGAGATAGCTAAAAATTCGGAAAAAGGTGGGCCATCCTATTTTAGCACTTTAGCGATAGCGAAAGTTAGAATCCGGCTGATGGTCGACACAGCTGGCTTTTTGTTTTCGAAAAGAACCTCATCAGCAAGAAACGCTATGTTTTCAGATCTAAATATTTTAGCATTCTTTCCAAATTGTTTCCCATAATTTTCATATTTATTTGATAAATAATTGCAAAAAATACGCGTTTTTTCTTCTAAGAGTTTCATGGAACTTTCGCAAATATCAGCAGCACCAATTTTTTTTTCAACATGGTTGAAAACCGGACAAGGCTTTTTTTCGAACATCCAATCAGCCAAACTTCAAACAACTTGCCGTTTGTGATAGCATGATAGCCCAGAAAAAACCGTTTTTCTTGGAAACGGCTAAAAACGGCAAGTTAAGTAAAATAGATTCAATCATTACATCTTAATTTATCCATTTCTGATTCCATTTTGTTTGCCGAAAGTTAACAAAATTGTAAAAGCTTACAATGGAAATAAATCATAATCATAATTTTTGAGGTTATGAAAATAAGTCAGTTTTTTGCAAACAAATGATTAAAAGTTACTTTTTTAAATTGGGACATAGGTTCTCACTTAGATAAAGTTTGGTTTCGCATTAAAAATTTTCCTTTAGTTATTCGAACTTTACAAAAACAATGCACTTGAAATTTACAAAATAAACCGGTTGCGCAAACAACGTAGCAATAACGTTTTGAAAGTGTAACTTTGGTTTATTGCTGTATAACGGTGTTTTTTATTTTACAAAAGCTAAGTGAAGTTTTTTTAGAGTATTCTCTACAGAATGGCAACAAAAAATAATGTAAAACTGCCTTTACGAAATTGGACTTTCGCACAGCCAAATGTATCATTTGACCTAATGTGATATGTTAAAGCTTTATTTGAAAGACTTTTTGTGCCAATTACTAATCCGTAAGTATAAAGTTCCCATCAGCTCTAGATGGTCACGAGGTCAAAGTGTCATAAAATCACGATTTTTGCAATGTTTGAGAAGCTCTAGCAAAGAAATAAGAGGTGATAAAAATTAAAGCTAGAAGTCTCGACTACTGTTCCTGAAAATACCATCCGTGCACCTTGACCTGATAGTTCTTCTAGTATTCAAAAAATAAAAATAAAATATATAGAAAATCAACGCGATTTTCAATCGATTAAAACTTACACCTTATTATACTAAAATTTTACAGGTTATAAAACTGCATACCTTTCTTGAATTTTCCTAAGGTCTGTATAAAAATTGATGAATAGAAAAAATTTTAACTTTAAAAACCTTACAAATATTCAACAAAAACCATTATGTACTCAGCTTTGCACTATAGTGTAAGCGTTAAAAATACATGCATATGTACATACATATGCATATCGTCGTTTAAAGTGCAAAACCTCGTATCAACAAAATGCGAAACCGCGTATCAGCAAAATGCAAAATCCGCGTATGTGAAGTTGTAGAAATAATTTTCTAAAAATAATTTTTATAAAGCAATCGCATTTCTGGCTAGTATATTTCAGGACGAATAATTAAGATTGAGCCAAGAGCTTGTGTGAGCAAATCCAATTTTTGGCAGCCAATGTCAGTTACGCGGTTTTGCAGAATGACGATACGCGGTTTTGTACTTTAAACGACGATATAATTTATAAGTCAAACTACATCTTGAAGGAAATACAATTTTCATACTGACTTTATTTTTGCATTATCCTCAGAGATGGCAAAAATATATTTTTTGAACTCATATATTTTTATTGCGATCTGTTTTTTTTTCTTTTTAACATTAAGCAATATTTGAAACTTAAATACTAAATAACCACCATATTCTATTCGCAGGTATGCAATGTTATTAAAGATCTAATATTGATTTCCTTTTAAGGCGCTGGAATGACACTGTATGAGAAGTGAGTGTAGAAATAAGAGGATTTAGGTGATCATGCATTTTTTGTCAGTGCGCCAAGGCATGCTTTTTAATTTCGGAAGCAACAGTAGGGACTTTAAGGTCACGGTGTATTTGGTTGTTTCTGACATAGAGCGGAGCGTTCACAATCATTCTAAGAGTTTTTGATTGGAATCCTTGGAGTATTTCTATATTGAAGGTTGCTGCAGAGCCCCATAATTGTATTCCGTTTGTCCATACTGGTTTTAAGGCACATGAATAGAGTAAGAGCTTGCTCTCGAGTGAGACTTGAGACTTCGGGTTCAGTAACCAATGTAAATTTCTGAGCTTCATTCCCAGTGCTTTGAGTTTAGTGAAAATATGAGTTTTCCATGTAAGCTTGCTGTCGAGGTGCATGCCTAAGTATTTTGTCGCATCACGCTGTGGAATATCCACGTTATTGAGTTTTACGGGCGGGCAGGTTTTACGTTTAAGGGATAACGTAACCTGGACAGACTTTGTTTCATTTGGCTTAATTCGCCAAATAAGTTTGAGGCATTTTTGAGTTTAACCGAGGCGAGTTTTGGATGAGATTGCAAAAATTAACTAACTTTTATTTGCTACGTCTCTACAGAAATTTCCACATACTGTGTGGAAAAATATATAACATATTTATTGTAGGATATGCATGAGTACAAAGCTTGAAATAATGATTGCTAACTGCTAACAATAAAATATATTTTTGCTTAAAGTTTTCTCATTAAATTAAAATATTTACTTAATTTTTTTAAGGTTGAGGACATTTATGATGCAATCGATATTGAAGACGATCCAAATCATTTATCAGTAAATCAACCCGATATAATTGAACTAAGTCCTGCCGATTTGAATGCAGCTGTTCAATCGCCGAAGCGCGCCCGCCTCAACATAAACTATTCGATTGGACCTATTGGAGAGTTGGATAAACAAATCCAACAGCAAAGGCCACAACAACCACAAAAGCAAATCCACCAACAACAAATTCAGCATAGTATAAAACAATATAAAGTGCAACCGCAGCATATAGTTGTACAAACAATAACGAATGGCAGCAACACAACCTCAATCCAGGCGATCAATGCAGCGACAGGAACCACAATCGGCACTGTAAGTGGGTCTTTCTCCACAGTGGGCTTATCGCATATCAATGGCACAATGCCAAACAATCGTCGCAAAATACAATTAGTTAATCGTATTGTTTAAATTTTCAAGAAACAAACAAAATCAAACAGAAAGCCATTCGGCCATTTGTTCCTAAAGAACAGATGATAGGTAGGAAGAAAAAATGCTGTTCCCTTTAAAATAATGTACAGCATGTGTGTGTTTACATAAATAGGTAAACAATATTTAACACATTGTATACGATGTTATTTGAAAAGTGTAACAAAAAACATTAGCGAAGTTATCTTCAAGGATCAAATAATGTATCAAATCAAATTCAATCATTTGTACGTGTTTTACGCTTGCACTATATTTTAACAATCAGTTAAGCGTAAGCATCTTAATTAACTCCACTTTACAAATGATTTAGAAATCTAGTTATTTAATATTATCTGATTCGTTTTTAAAGTAAATTTGTTTCATTGACAATAATTACAAAAAAAAACATTAAAAATTAAATTAAATCAAATGAGAATTAGTAAAAGATGTTATGTGTTAAACACATTTTTTTTTGGTAAATTAATGGGCTAAAGTAATAACTTCATCACTTTTTGAAATTTAGAGATAGGTGAAATGATAGTAAATTGTAACTAGATTCAGATTTGAATGCGTTTTCTTTTTTCACCTAAAAAGTACGTCTCATCTAACATAGTTGTTTAAATATTTAGTATTTGAACAATTAATTTTTGATGATTCCTTGTTATCATATATCCTCCACAAAAACGGAAAGCTCTCAACTTTCGGGAATTTAAAAACCATTTTTGCTTTGAAAACGAATTCTCTAATATTGCTAACAGTATGAAAATTTTAACACGAACCGTTTGATGTGTACAAATACGCTTAAAATGTGGCGTTCACAATAAATTTCTTACAATAACTTTATATTGTGTGTATATGTTCATATTGAATTCACATTTTTAAGTTGCAAAGAATTATGAGTAAAATATCGCACCAGTTCTCGAAAAGTATATTGTATTAACTGAAAGTCTCCGAGTCGTAATATAAGGTCATACATACATACGTAGCTATTAATTTGCAGCCAATTATATTAAAATATCACTTATGCTTTTGCTGGAAAACAGTTATGAATAATATCAATAAGATGGATTTATTGTTAATACATTTTTGATGGTCGTGCGCGATATGTCTGTCTGTATAAATTTATATTCGTAATATGTAATAGTAAATTATGCTTATTGCCGATATATTTCACATCATTTCATTTTTGTTTGTCCGAGCTCTGATCACATATATATGGGAGCATTTATAAAATGTCTACAATCTTCAGTCATCCGTTTCCGGGAAACAATAGAACTGATATAAAAAAGAAAAAAACTTTATTTGATTCTTAATTAATCATTCATGTATTTACAAAGCAATAAAAAACGTATTTTCCATTTTTGTTTATGGCTATAGTTTTTCGCAAACCAGAAACACTTTTCACTATTTGAACAAAAAAAAAAGAATCTTACTTGGTACTGCGATTCTAATTTATAATAACCAAATAAACTTTAGACTGACAATAGGATATGCATACTAACTACTAATTTTGGGCACAAAATCAAATTTTATAAACTTGACGAATTAAAACGTTTGATTTTTGTAATACTAATCTTTTTATTTTCATAACTTGATCTCTTTACTTCGTAAGCTCATATTATAAAATCTATTTCGATAATTATAGAAATGCTAATGAATTATATTTATCTAGAAACACTCTTGCTATGAACACAATCAAGGTGGTGCCCGACAATGCGCAACTCGAAACTAAATATCGCAGCCAAGCTCTAGCACCTGAATTCTGATTTTTGTTTTTCTGTAAGTTCTATTTTTTTGTAATCTGTAATGTATATAAAAATGGGCTTTATATATTTACATGTGAATTTTTTATTTAGCATTGTTGCTAAGTTATATGTTCATATATGATTTTCTATGATTTTTCGGGTTTCATTCCTGGTTTTGATTGTGTTCAATTTGGTAAAAATATAATACAAAAATAAAAATTATGACTCAGCATAATTTCTGCAATTATCATTTTTTTTTGTACCTGTGTCGCTCATACATGCACATTGAATGAAATATAAACGATTTTGTGGAATTGTTTAATACTTAACTGATGAGTGATTTGCTCGTTTTAAGTAATTTATATTTTAAATTTAAGAAGTTCCAGAGGTAGTTTGGATTCAAGAATAGTGCGCAATGCATTTGGTAGATATAAGTTTTTGGATTTCCCACAGAAAAACGTTGCTTAGTATATACATATACATATATGTAATAAATACACTCATACATGGTATAAAATTAAGTGTTGCATTTCAAGTCATTCCTCACTTAATTATCTTATATTAATTCCAAATAAAAAAACAAATGTAAGTCATAAATAAATCTTGCCAGCTCAGTATTTAAGATATCTAACTAAAAACGAAATTCCAGAAGAATCGTTTCTAATAGCGATAACTCACTCCATAGTAGGTTATACGTTATATATTATCTTAATGCAGAAAGGCCGTGACTTGTTTTCTTTCAACATCAAACTTTATAAAAAATCTACATAGATTACCACCCCAAAAATTTTAAACCATTACTACAATATTAAATCGTTTAGTCATAAAAAATTTTCAACAGAAATCTTAAATTTTTATTAAGTGAAAGGCCTTTCAAAATGAAAGTACGTACGAGATAATAGCCTTAGACGGCATGAATGTAGAACACATTCAAACAGTCAATTGAGAAAAATCAGAAGAATAGATTATATAGATACTAAAAAAAATTACAAATATTGCTGTAAATAGTAGTTCTAAGAAACTATTCGCAATATCATATCTTTATGGTAATAAATACTAACGACAACCGCACCAAGGCATGATAATTATATAGCCTCCGCATTTATAAACGCATTTACGGA